ATAGAGCCTACTTTAAAAAAATAAATTATAAAAATAAAAATCACTAAAAAAATGAGACATCGGTCTTCTAACTAATCTTTAGTTCTAATATGTGTATGTAAAAAAATCCCGAGAATTATATATAGTCAGAGAAATACGGATATATATCAATCAGATCAGAAAGACAAAACTAGGTACTTTAATTAAAAAGCATAGATTTATTTACACATGAAGTAGAGCATCAGTTTTTATCTTTCCTTTCTTAAGTTGAATTATGTCTTTATTCGTTTTAATTTTACAAAGTAGCCATTAGTTTGGGGTAGTAAAAGCTGTCTGGTTCATCCATTGTGGTATAGGTCCTACATTCAGATCTAGTGCAGGGCATGTTCTGGTTTAGAAGTTTATGTCCTTTTCATTAGAACTTGAGCTTAAAGAAAATGTTCAAATATTATGATAAAAGTGACCAGTCTTAAAGATGTGTCCTTGGGATATTTGCTGTTTCTGTGTAAGATTTTACAAGCCTTTCAGATGCTTTTCATATTAATAAAATGAATATGGTCATAAGCTTGAATTTGCATTGCTTCTGTGAGGGAGAAGAACATTATCAATCATAATTTCTTTTTATAATATTAAGGATCATCACTATTTGTTTTGATATAGACCTATAGAAAAAACAACCAAGCAAGGAAAAATTAGAACCCACGTAAGATCACTTTTAAAAGTCACTAACACAATTTCACTTTTGTATGGCTTCTTTCTAATTTTTTTTTATTAAAATGTTTTATTTATTTTTGAGAGAGAGAGAGAGAGAGCGTGAGCAGGGGAGGGTCAGAGAAAGAGGGAGACACAGAATCTGAAACAGGCTCCAGGCTCTGAGCTAGCTGTCAGCCCAGAGCCCAACGTGGGGCTCGAACCCACAAACCATGAGATCATGACCTGAGCTGAAGTCAGATGCTTAACCGACTGAGCCACCCAGGTGCCCCACTTCTTTCTAATTTTTTCTGTCTTTTTAAAAAGTAGTCTATGGTTGGGTCTTCATGTTTTATTAACTGAACTATTTAAAACAGAATAAACGTTTCATAAAGATTAACAGCTTTATTGAGATATAGTGCACATACCTTTATAATGTTCACTCATTTAAAATATATATTCAGGGGATGCCTGGGTGGCTCAGTTGGTGGAATGTCTGACTTTGACTCAGATCATGATCTCATGGTTCTTGGCTTCGAGCCCCACATCAGGCTCTGTGCTCACAGCTTAGAGCCTGGAGCCTGCTTTAGATTCTGTGTCTTTCTTTGTCTCCCTCTCTGCCCCTCCCCTGCTTGTACTCCGTCACTCAAAAATAAACAAACATTTAAAAAAATTGTTTTAATAAATAAATATATATATGTGTGTGTGTGTATATATATATTATTAACTGAACTATTTAATAAAAACAGAATAAACGTTTCATAAAGATTAACACCTTTATTGAGGTATAGTGCACATACCTTTGTAATGTGTGTATATATACACACACACATATATATTCGGGGGTGCTTCGCTGACTCAGTTGGAAGAGTGTATGACCCTTGATCTTAGGGTTGTGAGTTTGAACCCCACGTTGGGTGTAGAGATTACTAAAACAATTTAAAAAATATTTAAAATATATATTCACCGGTTTAGTATATTGACAGTTGTATAACCATCATAATCAATACTGGAACATTTTCATCCCTCAGAAGAACCCCAGTACCCATTAGCATTGAGTCCTCATTTCCCTCCAATCCTACCCCCAGCAGTAGGCAACCACCTGTCTCCTCCCTGTCTCTGTGAGTTTGCATATTCTGAAAATATCATATACATGTAATCATGCAATATGTGGTCCTTTGAGACTAGTGTTGTTCACTTAGCATAATGTTTTCAAGGCTATTCCATGTTACAGCATGTATTAGTACTTCATTTTTTTTATTACTAAATAATATTCCACTGTGTGTGTGTGTGTGTGTGTGTGTGTGTGTGTATACACACACTTTATTTTTCTGTTCTTTAGTTGAGCATTTTTGTCATTTCCACTTTTTGGCTATCATAAATGTTACTATGAATGTTCACGAATGTGCACTTGTTTTAAAAAATCAGATCTTGCAAATCATAGTTTTATTCTCAAATATCACTTCATTCCTTGAAAATAGTCTATTAATCATTGTCTAGACTATGAAGTAAACTTGGCTAATAAATTCTTTTAGTTGTAAGAAATAGAGATGGTGGTGTCTAAATAGATACTTGATCACTGTTTGTTTCTGATATAAACTGTTAAATTCATTATATTTATTTGTTTTAATAAAATAGATATTTGGTGCTTGAAAAACTGAAGAAAGAAGAAGCTGACCGAATTCATATATTCAGTTCTTTTTTCTATAAACGCCTTAATCAGAGAGAAAGAAGAAATCTACATGAAACAACTAATCTATCGTAAGTCAAGCTCTGAAAATATTTAACAGATCTTTAGTAAGTCTCTAAAGTTTAATTTAATAAAAAAGTACTTAATTTATATAGAGGCAATGTCTTTTAATTGTCAGCAAAATTAATATAATTAATAATACTCTAAAGCTTTAAGAATACTTGGAATTCATTAAAGGTTTTTGGTCCAATATCTAAATCATTATTTCCCAAATATGCCTTATAGTTAAAAAAAAAAAATTACTTGGATGCCTATTTAATACAGAGGGCTTTGTTTTACCATAGATGTTCCATTCATAATATTTAAGAGAGCAACCTGTGAATCTATACTTTTTTTTAGAGTAATCTTTTTTTTTTTTTTAATGTTTATTTATTTGAGAGAGAAAGAAGGAGAGAAAGAATCCTAAACACTAAGAGTGCAGAGCCCAGCATGAGGCCCAGTCTCATTAACGGTGAGATCATGACTAAAGGTGAAATCAAGAGTCAGACACTCAACCGACTGAGCCACCCAGACACTCCAAATCTATACTTTTAATAAGTTATTTGGATAATTCTGCTCAGACAAGTTAAGGAAATACTTTTCTATATATTAAGCTCCAGTCCATTTGTTTATAATTCCTTTCCACATAGTGATTGCATCCAGCTCTAACATGTTCTGATAATTAGTGAAAAGATATATTCAGAGTGCCCTAAGTTCTGTCAAATCTCTTAGATTTGACAAATTAGCCTGTCAAATTATGGCTGCTGTGCATAATAATATTTCATACTGTTTCAGTGATTTCCTAATTTTACATCTTGAGAGTTGATGAGAGTGATTGGTTTGACCAATGTTCATAGTCTATTTTATTTCATGTATTGTAATGCTCACTTTTCCTGCTCTCTTCTCTTCAGGTCATGGTCTGATACACTTCTCAATATAGTTGCTACTATGTAGTAATATAAGTGGTAGCACTGGTTTACTTAGTACTACCAGGAATTAAATAATTCTTGCAGATTCAATAATGGGCAGTTTGACATCTTCTTGGGTCCATCTGAGATGTTCTGTTTTCTTTTCCCAGCTTGTTGAAATCATCTTATACAACTATTTTATTTGTTAACGTCTTAGCCTTCATAATTTATAAATGTCTGCATATAAGCTGAAGCACTAGAAACATTTCAACAGCTTGATAGTTTTATCTCTTGTCTTAACAGAATACAGCAAAAGCGACATGGGAGAGTAAAAACATGGACGCGGCATGTAGATATTTTTGAGAAGGATTTTATTTTTGTACCCCTTAATGAAGCGTGAGTAAGAATTATCTTTATGCAAATATGAAGGTTATTTTTAGAAAATGTGTTTATGAGGTGAAGAGTTTATTCATTTTAAACTTTCTTAAATTTGTTGTATACGTCTATATTATACTGCTTATTTTATGAAAATGCAGTTTTCCAGTGAATCATTTAAGACATATTTTATAAACACTGGCAAGAAATTTTTCTAATGTTAAAATGGTTTTATTCTTCAGTGTAGAATAGTGTCATTTTTAAAAAGTGGTGCTTGTGGTCTACCAAACATCCTATGAAAAGTCTTCCTTATAGAGAGTAATGACTAGGTCACATAGAAGATTTTGGATCTTTAGTTTAAAAACCACTTTGGCTCTTAACCAAATAAAGAAAAGATGACTAGATTTATGTCATTTACTCAATTTGAAAACCATGCTGACTTACTTGAAGCTGTTTTCTAAATAAATGGAGGTGGTTAAATATTTTATGTTATTCTTCCACAAGTGACCAGAGAGGCATTGAATTAGAGAATCCGAGTATAGACTTGAGTGTTTTTATATTTCATGTTTTTGTTTTCCTATGCCTTCCAACCAAAAACCCTTAGGAACGCACCTGTGGTTAGGCAGCTTGGGTTTGTTAGTTGCGTCAAGGAAGAACACACACCATGGGCAACCATGGAGCCTCTAAGTAAAAGTGCAGCCTATGACGGAATTTGAGCCTTGGTTTGGTCACTTTGGGAAAGGTGTAAGGAAGCAGTTGTTTGCATGGGTAAAGAAGTGGCATTTACCCATTTAGCAAAAACGAGGAATATTCGGTATTCATATGGTTATGTTGTGACCTAGTTGTCTCTTAGACAAATTGAGAAATGGCCTTGTTTTGTCTCGATTTATTACAACTGCGGAGTAAATTTGTCTGAGGTTGATATTCAGTAAGATTGTTTATGTCTAATAAGCCTGAGTGTGCCAGACTAGCTTTTGAATGTGTTCTCTTTTTTCCTCACTATGAAAAACAACTTCACTCAGTAGTATAATGAAATTCTACTTACTTAAAACCATATATTAATCATGAGACCTATCGTTTCTCATGAGTGCAGCCACAGATAGGTAGGCTAGGTTAAAGGACTGCTTATGACTATAAAGCCTAACTTCTTCAGAGCTGTATGTTTAAGTCAAACATAGTATCATAATTTAAAACCAAGTTTAAAACTAATTCTTAATCTCTTCATTAACCTCAAAAATAAGATTTCTTGACAATAAAATGTGAACTGCCTGCCCCGGTGAAAGGGAAGGTATACATAGTAGTAAACTGTTTGTCAGAAATGAATTATAAAGATTTAAAATAGAAATATAGTTTAGGGTACATACTTTAGCAATAGAGGCACATTCCTCTTAGTATATCTGATGTGGATTGAAGCTCTCATCAGTGTTTCCAGCTATCTTGGTGGAAGATGGAGCATGAATAAAGATGTAGAGTCAGTAAAGGACTTTGCAAAAGAACTGTGCCATTTGTAGATGGAAGAATAGCCTCCAAGTCACGAGGGTTCATTTTGTCTTACTGTTTTTGTTTTTGAAGAGGTACAGACACAAATATTTATGTTCACTAATTATTTTAGACAGGCTGGTATGTATTTTGCTATCTGTTTTGTTTTTAATTTTCCTCGTGGTGGTAGTTTCTTTAAAAGTTTGTAAGTCAATTCATTTTAAGTGGAATTACTTGTTCTAGCTTCTCCCGCTGGTGATAATGTAGCTGCTATTAAAAGGGATCAAAAAGCAAAATCATGTCTTTTAGAGGTTGAAAATGACCTCAGATGTGTCTGATTCAACTTTATCCTTCAGCTAGGTGAAGAAAGAATTTTTCTTAGTTTTTAGGTGTACAACAGAAAATTTATGGTTTTAACATATTGTCACACCTAAGAAATGTTAAAAACTGTGATAGACTTAGGTTCTATCTTGAGGATGAGAAATAATGTATTATACCATATTTTTAAAACATTCTTTTTACATTTAACTTTTCTGACATTGAGATGAGACTTACAGTCAACTATGTCTTGGAGTTAAGAAGGGGAGAAGGATGGTGTGTTGCTCTTTCTACTACCCCAGCACAATTTAAGTCCCTAGGATGGATACTAAGGATTAATACTTAAAAACAGGAGAGAAGCATTTCTCCATCTGGCCTTTATAATACTACGGATACAGCCAGACTCTGTCACCCTTTTATTTATGCAATCTGATGGAGAGACATTGTTTCTTAATATTACCTTGGGGGAATTTAACATTTTGTAAAAATGAGAATATAGAATAACTTTTGTTCATGTCCACTTAGCAAATACCTATTTAACACCCTACTATATGACAAACACTGTACTCAACTAATAAGTTAATTGACACCTATAGCACATAGCATATAGCACTGTCCAGCAAATAGTAAGTTAATGAAATTACTTGTTAGATTAATGAATATTAGCCAGTGTTAGCTGTGTAGCTTTTTACTCATGGTTTTCAACCTATTATTGGAAACTGTGATACCTGAATCAATGATAACTGAATTCAACTAGTTTATATACATTTCAATATAGTATAAGACAAAGAATTATTTAATATTTTCAACATTAAGCAGTTCCTAATCTTATTCTTAAGAAAAACAGACATGCTAAGTGTTTTTAAAAGCTACATATGTGCAATATTTAGAAATATTCAAAATTATACAGTTTAATTAGACTTCTGAAAACATTTTAATCTTGAATCTAGTTTTCTATCCTTTGACATAAATAAGGCAAGAAAAAGGTAAATGGAAATGGTGAATTACAGTGATCAAATTTATATTTTGTTAAATTGCCTAAAAATAAGAATGAGCTTTTCATTCAAAACAGTGAAGATTCAAAGGATTGTTTGCAAAAGTGAATGCAGGCTACATAATTCTAAAAAAAAAAAAAAAATTTTTTTTTTTTAGTAGACATTGTAGTCTATTAATGATCATATAAACATGAGAATTTTAAAAATTGAGCATTTGATATGTTTCAAAGCCTTTAGAAAGAATATTTGAACTGATACTTTTTGCCAAATATAATAGGCTCTTCTAATAATATATTCAGTAGTTTCATTTGTTTTTTACAGTGCACACTGGTTTTTGGCTGTTGTTTGTTTCCCTGGTTTGGAAAAACCAAAGTATGAACCTAATCCTCATTACCATGAAAATACAGTCATGCAAAAATGTTCAACTGTAGAGGACAGTTGTATTTCTTCTCCTTCAGCCAGTGAAATGGACAGTTCACAAAATTCCTCTGCCAAGCCTGTAATTAAGAAGATGCTAAACAAAAAACATTGCGTAGCTGGAATTGATTCAGGTGCTGAACAGGAAGAAAGTGACCCTCATTCTCGGAGAAACATAGGCAGTGTGAAATGTAGTCTGAAAAAAATAAATCATACTGCAAGTGAAAGTGAAGAATCGAATAAAGGAGAATCCACATGCCAGAAAGTTGTTGATGGGACTAAAAGTGAAAATGGCCTACAGAATGAATATTTAAGTTCTATGCACCATACAGGTATGTTTCTGAATATTTTGAAAGAATCAAAGAATTCAGAATAAACTGGATTTTTTATACATAGTATTAAGATCTTAGGGAACACTTCTTTTTTTATATACATGTTTATTGACATGACTGCTTATAATAACATTTGCCCATTTTATAACTATAGCCCAGTGAGCTTTGATAAATATGTACAGTCATGTAATCTCTATAGCAATCAAGATTTATTTATTTTTTTAAATCTTTTAATGTTTATTTTTGAGAGGGAGAGAGAGACCGAGTATAAGCCGGAGAGGGGCAGAGAGAGGGAGACACAGAATCTGAAACAGACTCCAGGCTCCATGTTGTCAGCACAGAGCCCAGTGCAGGGCTTGAACTCACGAACCGCAAGATCGTGACCTGAGCTGAAGTCAAGTGCTTAACTGACTGAGCCACCCTGATGCCCCACAATCAAGATATAGAACTTTTCCATCGCTCTAAAAAATTTTCCCTTGTGGCTTTCCACACCTTATAGAAAGTTTAAAAATTTTACTACAGGGTCTACATTTTTTCATTTATAACAACTTGGTTTTATTCTTATTTCATAGGAAATTTACTGTATTTCGCAGAAATAGTAATTGGACAGTCTTAGGTCTTTCAGGTGAATTAGTTCATTTTTAATTTAGAGATGGAATAGTAAGAGTCAGAAATTAAAGCTTTCCCCTCCAAAATAGTTGTTACATTCAAATTAAAGGTTAGTTCCTTATTCCTCACTCTATCCTTCATGGGTTTTAGTGGGAAGAACACTGCTCCAATTTCTGCTTTTTTATTTCCTTCTGTTCAATCGATTTTTTCCCTTGAATCGGTTCTGTATTTCTTGCACTTGTTAGAGAAATCTAAAGTTTCTCTTCTAATACTTAAACTTCATATCAAGTCAGTTGTTTTCATTTTCTCTCCAACTCAAAAGTAAACTAGTCTACTTCATAAAATCCATAATATGCTAATGAGATTTGCCTTGCTTACTAAACTGTGAATAAATTTAATACATTTTCTTTGAAGGAAAAAAGTTAGGATAAGACATAGAAGAAATTATATGAATTCAGAAAGAACCTATCAAAAATCAAGAATGCTGAACATAGTATTGGTACTTTTACCACCTTATTTTGGTAACTCAGAAAGCTGTTTCTGAGTTTTATAAGAATATTTTTTATTTGTTTGACATATTTGCTACTTAGTAAAAAAAAATAAAAGAGGCAATGAATAGTCATATTAAAGATTAATTACTGGGGCACCTGGGTGGTTCAGTTAAGTGTCCAACTTCGGCTCAGGTTATGATCTCACGGTTTGTGAGTTCAGGCCCCACATCGGGCTCTTTGCTGAGCCTAGAGCCTGCTTTGAAATCTCTTTCTCTCTCTCTGTCTCTCTCTGTCTCTGTCTCTCTCTCTGTCTCTCTCTCTCTCTTTCTCTGCCCCTGCCCCTGCCCTGCTCCTGCTCTTTCTCTCAAAAAAATAAACATTAAAAAATATTTTAAGATTAATTAACCATTTTGGCACTCTGAAAACTAAGCCTTCAAAGCAGTGTGTAGTTTCTTGCCAGTTAGCACATGAGACGGTGATAGAGATCATTAGACATAAGAGTAATGTAGACCACAACCACAGTGAGATACTTCCTCATATCATACTAGTATAGTGTGGCTACAATCAAAAAGTCAGATATTAACAAGTATGGGTGAGGATATGAAGAAATCAGAACCCCTCATGTTACTAGTGGAAGTATAAATTGGTGCAGCTGCTTGTTTTTGAAGACAGTTTGATAGTTCCTTAAAAAATGAAATGTAGGGCACCTGGGTGGTCGGTTAAGTGACCAACTCTTGATTTCAGTTCAGGTCATGAGTGGTTCCTGAGTTTGAGCCCCTCATCGGGCTTTGTTCCTACAGTGCAGAGCCTGCTTGGGATTCTCTCCTCCCTCTCTCTGTCCCTATCCTGCTCTCTCTCTCTCACAAAATAAAGTTTAATTAAACGTAGAGTTAACATATGACCCAGCAATTTCACTCCTCCTACATATATATCCTAGAAAAATAAAAGCACACAAAAACTTGGGCACGAATGTTCATAGAAACTTTATAGTAGCCAAAATGCAGAAGCAACCTAAATGTTCATCCACTGACAAATGGATAGTCAATTAGTGATATATCTATCCAATGGAATGTTATTAGATCATAAAAAGGAATACTGCTACGTGCTACAACATAGATGAGTCTTGAAAGTATTGTGAAAGTAGTCACAAAAGACCACATGTTATATGATTCCATTTGTATGAAATCTCCCAAACAGGAAAAGCTATGGAGTAGATTAGTGGCTGCTTAGGGCTAGTGTGGTGTGGCTGAAGAGTACAGTGTTTCTTACTGAGATTTTAAAATTTTCTCTGATGATAGTTGTACATATGTGTAAATATATCAAAAACAACTGAATTGTACACTTATTTTTTTGAGAGATTGCATGCGTACGAGTGGGGGAGGGGCAGAAAGAGAGGCTTGAACCCACAAACCATGAGATCGTGGCCTGAGCTGAAACCAAGTGTTGGACTCTGACTGAGCCACCCAGGTACCCCCTGAATTGTACACTTTAAATGGGTGAATTGTATGATACTTGAATTATATCTCCATAGAACTATTTTCTTTAAAGTTCTCTGTTGATCAGTAATCTTATACACTGTAATGTGAATTCAAATGAGAAATGAATTAAAGTTTGAGCACCTTGGTTTCTTTGGGTTTGGTTAAGCATCTGACTTTTGGTTTCAGCTCAGGTCATTATCTCAGGATTCATTAATTCGAGACCCACATCAAGCTCTGTGCTGACAGTGTGGAGCCTGCTTGGGATTCTCTGCCTCCCTCCTTCCCTCCTTCCCTCCCTCTCTTTCTCTCTCCTGCTCTCTCTCTCCCTCTCTGCCCCTCCCCTGCCGCTTTCTCAAAAACTAAATAAATACACTTTAAAAAATGAATTAAAGTTCATGATTTAAAAGCAATGGGACAAAACCTAGGGCTTCATATATATATATATATGAAGGGTATATATATATATATACCCCAGAAATTCCTGGTAGCCCTTTCCTTCAAATTTTCTAGCCAAGTAGTATCCAGTTAAATTTAAGTAAATATCCTCACAAATCCTAGTGGAGATCAAAGTATAGAATCATCTGTTTGCCTTTCTAGCCCCCCACCCCTTTTTTAAACTATGGTTTGTGTATTTGTTTTGTTTTTGGTATGTGTGTAGCTGCATCAACTATATCTTCCTTAGGGGAAATTAATTTACATTTATTGGGTGTGATACCTTGATATTTTCTCTTCTTTTCAGTGCTTGCCTTAATCCAATGATGATAGTATCCCATGGTTTGAAAAATGGTGCTCTAGAGTGAGTCTGTGCATTTCTGTGCTTTTCTCGGATGTTTCCGAGGGATCACTCACACAAAAGTACATTAAGTAAGAGTGCTCTCTAGAGGTGCTTCTACTACCTCAGAGAGGTTGGTTATATAGTCTGTTCTATATCAAATGGCATGTTAAAACTTAGGATAAGAGCTTTTAACAATTTTAGTGATTATGATTAATATTTCAATACTGATTTCCAATTTGGTCTGGGAATATAATTGACAAGATTTAAATGAGGCATGTAGGTAGTTTTAATGGAGGGTTTGTTTTTTTTTTTTAAGTTTATTTATTTATTTTGAAAGAGAGAGCATGAGCAGGGAACTCAGGCTCATGACCTGAGCTGAGATCAAGAGTCCAACACTTGACTGAGTCAGCCACCCAGGCATCCCCGTTTTAATACAGTTTTAACCATCAAACACACATAGTCAAAAGTATTGACTTCTGATGTCAGATATACACTGTCGTAAATAAGTGGGAATTGTATCTGATCACAGAAATTAGGTTAAGGTCAATTGTAGGAAAATAACGTGTAGTATCAGTGCTTTAATTTGCTGGTTTTTCAGTAGGACACCATATGAAATGTTGTTTTGCTCTGGTACATGAAAAATGTATATGTTTTAAACTCTAGAATCTCACTTGGCATCTTCAGATGATCTCACTATTTGAGAAGCTCTCAGGAACTGGGACTGATTTAAAGAACAGCTGGTTGAGTTATCACCTCTGAGTTTATGCCAGAACATTTGTTTATTGAATGAAAGAATTAACTACAGTATTTAAATTCTTTTCCTCCATTTTTAATGCACATGTTTTTAACTTGTGTAAGGTTTATATTTATATAACACAGCTTCTGTAGAATTGGCTGCTAGAGTAACTTAATTATAATTGATCATGAATTGCCTGAGGATTTGGACAGATTTTATTTGAATATAGATATTTTAGCTTCAATCATAAAAATACATATGTTTGAAAAACAATTGAAAGGTTATTTTTCATAGAACAAAATGATTTACATAGTGTTTTATTATTTATTATAAGTAGTATGTTTCCAATCACAGCATCCTATCCTAACATGATTATTTTCATATGTGTATTTTCTTTTATTATTTGTCCAAAAACAAGCCTATTTTACTTCATTCTATTAATTTTTATTTTTTATTTTAATTTTTTAAAAGCTTATTTATTTTGGAGAGAGGGAAAGAGCAGAGCAGGGGCAGAGAGAGAGGAGACCAAGAATCCCAAGCAGACTCTATGCTGTCAGCAGAGAATCCAATGCAGGACTTGAACTCACCAACTGTGAGGTCATGACCTGAGCCAAAGACAAGAGTTAGATTCTTAACCAACTGAACTACTCAGAGGCCCCATTAATCATTTTATTTTATTTTTTTAATTTTTTTAATTTTTTTTTAATGTTTTATTCATTTCTAGGAGAGAGAGAGAGACAGCGTGAGCAGGGGAGGGTCAGAGAGAGAGGGAGTCACAGACCGAAACAGGCTCCAGGCTCTGAGCTGGCAGTCAGCACAGAGCCCGACGCGGGGCTCGAACCCACGAACCGCAAGATCATGACCTAAGCAAAAGTCGGACGCTTAACCGACTAAGCCACCCAGGCGCCCCAATCATTTTATTTTTTAATCTATAAAACATTTTTCATATTTTTTAATTTTAAAAATGTATTTTATGTTCTACAGTTTGCTATTTCTGGTTTTGGGCAGTAAGTTATTTTCAGATTATTGTAGCTTCTGTTACTAAAGATAACCACCATACCTAGTACAAAAATGTTTTACACATGTATATATCTGTATACATATTTAAATATACATATACTTAATAATATAATTGATACCTAGTTTTAAATTTAATGAATTTTCAAGTCCGAGTTGTAGAAGTAACTTTGTAATTGACATGTCAATCCAGGGTGGTTGTTTGTTTCTTTGTTTGTTTATTTAATGTTCATTTTAAGAGAGTGAGAGTGCAAGCAAGAGAGGGGCAGAGAGGGAGACGGAATCCCAAGCAGGCTCTGCACTGTCAACTCAGAGCCCAAGGTGGGCTCGATCTCACAAACTATGATATCATGATGTGAACTAATATCAAGAATTAGACACTCAACCAGCTGAGCCACCCAGGTGTCCCTCAGTCCAGGATTTTATTAACAGTAAGTTATATTTGTGAGGGGTACCTAGGTGGCTTAATCTGACACTAGATTTTGGCTCAGGTCATGATCTTCTGATTTGTGAGATCAAGCCCTGTGTCAGGCTCTGCGCTGAACAGAACAAAGCCTGCTTGGGATTCTCTCTTTCTCTCTCTCTCTCTCTCTCTCTCTCTCTCTCTCTCTCTCTCAAAAATAAACTTTTTAAAAAGTAAGTTACATTTGTGATATTACATGTTAATTCAGATTTCACATCTATATTTACTATACAATTAGCATTAATTTTAACATATACTGTAAGTTACATGAATGTCCTTATAAAAATTATGTAATGTTTCTTATTGATATAGATGGTTTAAGCAAAATTAGACTAAACTATAGTGATGAATCAGCAGAAGGCAGTAAAATGCTTGAAGATGAACTCATCGACTTCTCAGAAGATCAGGATAACCAGGTAAAACCTAATGCTTGGCTAAAAGGTCCAATATTTTATCTAATTAAATTTTTCTTTGGAGTCCTACAGGCAATTTCTTCAACCAGTAACTCATGCCTTCTGAATTTGGGTCTCATCTCAAAGCACAAACTGAATTTTTAATTTAGAAGTTGCCACATTAAATGTATTAATGTTGTTTTGTATTATTTTCTTTTAGGGTTTTTGTTGTAGTTTTGGCTATCCATTTAATATAAAAGGGATTCTCCCACCTGAACCCAGCCAGCAGCCCACTAACCCTACAATCCCTTTTTCTTCCTCTTTTAAAGCATTTGTGGGTCATACCTAACCTTTGGTGTAACTTGTTCGAGAGGCAAATGTTTAGATACTTGATTATGTGGTACATGAGCACAGCAAAATTATATTAATTTTTCCATTTTTCCACTGATTCTTTTTCTTTCTTCTAATTTAATGTGTAGGTATCATGGCAGGAGCATATAGTATTTAGTTAAAACTAACTTAGGTCAGTTCTCATATTTCCTTAGTTTCATTTGCTACAATAAATTTTATTTACACCAAGAATAAAATCTATTTTTGAAAATATTTTATGGAAGAAAAGTTTGTAAGAATCCTACAGCATTTCATTTCTTTAATTCTTTGACCTTTCTTTAGTTGTTAGGATAAACTTTGAGTTTATCTTGTGTAGTGAAGACAGCTCTGTACTGTACCATTTGTCCTTTTTGTTTAATCTTCATGTTAACAAAAGCCATTTTTTGATGCCCCTTGCTCTACAATATATGTCCAAGGAATACAGTTTTTCTCTGCAACTTATACAGGCACATTGTAGGTATTACATTAAAAGCTTACAAAGAGCACTGTTCATATGCCTCTTTGTTTGTAACATTTATGTGAACTAGCTCATCTATGTATTATTTTTATGATTATTATTATCATTTCCAGTGTTATTTATAAGGTTGCCAGAAGCTTTCTAAAGAATAGAAAAAGTCTTGTTTTATATTCAAGATAATCTACAGAAAAAGACACAGTGTCACTAAGTTTTCTCTCAAGTGAAGTGGATATATGATTTTGTCAAGGAGTTGTTTCCAAAAACCCTTTAAATATTTCTGATTTGAGAAAATTACTTATGTAAAAGAATAATAAATATAAGTCATTCATATTCCTATTGTGAAATGGTCATCTTGGCCAACAAACAAGTTTTGTAGAAATCTCTAAAATCAGAGCAGTAGTCTTTGACTAAAGAAGAATGAGTCATATATTTTCAGTAATTAAAATTTTATTTTACATTGAATAAATAGACGTAACAATTTTTCATGGACTTCTGATCAGTAATTTCTTTTCATTAAAATGTCAGTGTTGTGTCATTAGAGAATTAGAACTGATTAACCGCATTTTCTCATGTCTGATCACTTATATGGAAAAGAATTTACATATTTACTACAAAGATTTTTATCATCAGTAATGCTATTTTTTGAGGTTATTAATTATTTAGATTATATAATTTCAATACTAACGGGATGTCTTTTATAGGATGATAGCAGTGATGATGGATTCCTTGCCGATGACAACTGCAATTCAGAAATAGGACAGTGGCATTTAAAGCCTACCATCTGTAAACAGTAAGCATTAACTTTATATCTTACAAACTGTGTGATATATTTTATTTACATACCCTCATAGAATAAAACATAACTGGACAGTTTTTATTTAAACAAGTACTTAAAAGTCACAAAGCCTTTCAAGATGGGTGAGGAGAATTGGTAACCAGGGCTCAAGTTGGGCAGAATGGATAATCCTTTCAGTTCTGTGTCCATTTTCTATTTGTATACGCACACACATTCCCAGAGAGAGCTACTATTCCTTTTGGATATATATTGATTTGGAGCAAAAAAAGGACAAAGGACTGTCATTTAAATTCAAACCAGTAACTTTAGAATTGGAGTTTACAGTGGTACCATAGCTACTATGTGAAGACTGTGGAGTGACTCAAGGCAGTCCTTAGGGACATGATTCAAGATGGGAAGCCCAAATGAGAGTGAATCTGTTCGGTTTTCAAAAGTACGTGTTTTTGGGACACCTGAGTGGCTCAATCGGTTGAGCGTCCGACTTCGGCTCAGGTCATGATCTCACAGTTTGTGGGTTCGAGCCCCTCATCAGGCTCTGTGCTGACAGCTAGCTCAGAGCCTGGAACCTGCTTCAGATTATGTGTCTCTCCCTCTGTGACCCTCCTCTGCTGACAGTGTCTCTCTCTCTCTCTCAGAAATAAATAAAAAACATTTAAAAAAAATTTTTTTAAAAACATGTTCTGGGGCACCTGGTTGGCTTAGACTGTAGAACATGTGACTCGATCTCAGGGTCATGAGTTCAGCCCCATGATGGGTGTAGAGCTTGCTTAAAAAAAAAAAAAGTACATGTTATGAGGTCTTTTCAGGGTCTATGAATAACTTAATTGATGAGGTATTACCTATTTTTAGACTCTATCTCTTTTGACTTTTTTAAGAAAATGTTGGGTGAAACTCCATTAACAGCTTTTGAAACTCAAACTTCACTTATGAATGAAAATGTAGGGAGCTAGAGCAATTAAGCGATCTGCCTCAAATCCCACAGAATTTTAGGCAAGAAGAATCCAGATCTTTAAACATTCCAAGACTTTTTGTACTATATTAGTCTTCCTCACTTGGGTTTACAACAATATTTCAAAGGTTGTGTGTTACTCATATTGAGTGTTCTAAAGTAGAACCTTACACTGATTTTTACACTGGATCCTAAATCTTACACTGGATTCTTAATTGGATTCAAAAAACACTGGATTCTAAACTAATTCCCTTTTATTTTATTTTTCCCTATTTTTAAATAATGTCTATACTCCGTGTGAGGCTTGAACTCAAAACCTTAAGTTCAAGAGTTGCATGCTCCACTAGCTAGGCCAACCAGGGACTCCTAAACTAACTCTTCTGTGTGATGATTACCTGTTTTGTTATCTATAATAGGTTTTGGTTAAAAATGGGATTATTTGGGGGCATCTGGCTGGCTCAGTTGGAAGAATGTGCAACTATTGATCTTGGAGCTGTGGGTTTGAGCCTCACGTTGGGTATAGAGATTACTAACAAATATTAATGAACTTTTAAGAAATGGATTTATTTCTACTTTGCTTGGTCCTACTTTTGGTAATTTGGAATTTGGGGATATTCAAATTTTCAGAATTATTTTGCCTTTTTACTAAATTTTGAATTCTTTTAAGGAACTAACTATGGAACTTCAGTGAAATATATTCATAATAAGATATGGTTCAGTTAATATTCTACAATTTGGTATTTAGTATAGCCATGGATATTTAAATATTATTGGGATATGTATATCTGTAAGATTTATTTTTTATCCAAATTTTACTGAGTCAAGGGACTTGTGAGTGTTTTAAATTCTATTGTTAATGCTCATCTTTTTATGCCTTTTTTAACATTATAAAGTGATAACATTTGGTCGTTTCACCCTGCAGACCTTGTATCCTGCTGATGGACTCACTTAGAGGCCCTTCTCGATCGAATGTTGTAAAAATTCTAAGAGAGTAAGTTCAAAATCATCACTTGTACTTTGTATTCTGGTGGGAATGAGGGACTGTGTATACTTATATATGTATATTCTTACTGTATGTGCATTATTGCAGGTATTTAGAGGTGGAATGGGAAGTTAAAAAAGGAAGCAAAAGAAGTTTTTCCAAAGATGTTATGAAAGGCTCTAATCCAAAAGTACCCCAGCAAAACAACTTCAGTGATTGTGGTGTATATGTATTACAGTATGTAGAGAGCTTTTTTGAGGTGGGTTTCAGTATGTTGGATCTGATATAATAAATAATAAAATACTGTATAGTGGACCCTTAGACAACATGCGCTTGAACTGCATGGGTCTGCTTATTCACAGATTTTTTTTTTTTTAATATAGTACAGTACTATAAATAAATGTATTCTCTTCCTTATGATTTTTGTAACATTTTCTTTTCTCTAGCTTACTTCATGTAAGAAAATCGTAATATAATACATATACAAAATTTGTGTTAATTGAGTATGTTATCAGTAAAGCTTTCGGTCAATAGTAGGCTGTTGGTAGGTAAGTTTTTCGGGAGTCAAAAGTTGTATGTGGATTTTGGACTCAATAGGGCCAGCACCCTGAATCCCCACATTGTTCAAGGGTCAACTGTTTTTGACCTTACATCAATGTTAAAAACATTAATAAGGAAATACTTTAAATAATTTGAAAACTATCATTTCAAAAATTTGTCCCAAGTTGGAGAGTTTTTAAAGAATAAAAAGACTACTTGTACTTCATGAAATCCAAGGTTTGTTGACTTCATTCCTCATAACTGACCAACTTTCCCTCTCCACTGGCTCTTTCCACCTTAAGACTTTTACCCTCTTTTCTCCCCTTTACGGATATATTTATGGAGAAGTAGTTATACGTTCACTGTCTTCATTTCCACAAATCCTACTCATTTCTCAAATCTTTGTAATCTGGCTTTACTCTTGCCCTTACATTGAAATTGTTCCCAACCTCCCCATACCATTTGATACTGCGGGCCATTCCTTTTTCATAATGCTTTCTTCCTTTGACTTCAGAGGTACAATACCATGGACACCTCTCTTAGATATCCTTTATAATTCTCTTGACTCCATCCTTGTCCTCATCTATCATCCAGTATAGCACTCAGTCCTGTGAAATGTATCACTTAATGTCACATCTGTTCAATCCCTATTCCTGCTGCCACTTTCTAAGTCCAGTATATTGGCATCACTATTCTGAACCACAACACCAGTCTCTAAGCCTGCTGCCTTTTATTTTTCACGGTTGTTTTCCAGAAACTAGAGTCTTAATCATTTTATGCATGTGAAAGATGAAAATCCTTCATGTGTTCTAGCCTCATTTCCTACCATGCTTACTCCAGCATTCTGTGTCATTCAGTTTCTTATATTGTGCCATGTTCTTTCTTGCCTCTAGGCTTGGTACCTAGGTCCCTACATGGGATACTCTTCCCAGTTGCTTCTTTCATTCTTCATTGGACCAGCTTCTACTCATTCTTCAGGTTTCAGCTTAAATATTACTTCCTGGAATTACATTAAGCCCCCAGACATGGATTTTCATAGGACTTTCTGCTTCTACTGTCATAACACTTGTCGTGTACATTGTTTTAATTGTTGAGTTCTCTGTCTGTCTAGACTACAATCAGCAAACCATTTATAAAAGGGCCAAGTAGTAAATATTTTCAGCTCTGTGGCCATGCAGTTTGTACGCCTACTCGCAGTTCAGCTATCGTGTCCTGAGAGCATCCACAGACAACATGTAAATGAGTTGGTGTGGCTGTTTCTCAATAAGGCTTTGTTTACAAAAACAGGCCGTAGGCAGAATTTGGCTCACTAGCTGTAGTTTGCTGACCTCTAATCTAGACTACAAGATCTATAGGCAGAAACTGTCTCATTATCTCCAGTGCCTAGCACAATATCTGGCCTGAGATAGGTAATGAGTACATACTTATTAAATGAATTTACTGATTATCCATTTTTAACTCTATAATGCTTTTGTGATTGAAATTAAAATATTTATTATGGTTTTCTAATGTGCATTTAATATTTTTATTTCCAGAATCCAATTCTCAATTTTGAACTACCCATGAATTTGGCAAACTGGTTTCCTCCCCCAAGAATGAGAACAAAAAGAGAAGAAATCCGAAACATAATTCTGAAGCTTCAGGAAGATCAGAGCAAAGAAAAAAAGAAGCATAAGGACACTTTTTCAGCAGAAACATCTTTAGGTGAAGGAGCAGAACAATATGTCAATAGCATCTCAGACTGACCCATTTTTGATGCTTGTCAGTGTTGCCTTCAGAAACTGAGTGACTTTCAACTTTGGGTATAGACAGTAAAGAACTGAAGTGCTCACTTACTCAGAGTGATCTGGAAATGTTAATGCTTGTATAAATGTCATATAATTAATTTCCAATGGAGTATGTATTAAGTAAAAGTTTGTAAATATGTTAATGAGGCCAATTTTTCCAGCATTTATAATTATTTTTTTCACTTGTTAGGAAGCTTTTGTTATGTATTTTCTGTTAATAGTACTTGAAACTGCAACTTCTCAACACAAAATAAATAAAAAGAAAATATTTATAGGAGGAAATGATTAATTTGATATTCTTTAGTGAACTTGTATTAAATTCCTTAGTGGGTGTGACATTTCATGGGAATATTTAAGTATCTATGATAATCCTTTGACCTGCATTTGTTCTAAAATATCTTGAAATATGAAAATATGATTAAATATAAGGCATTTTGAACAAGAAAGACATCTTCATATGCTTGTATAGTGGAAAAAAAATAACAGCTTTTTAATTCATACACTCCCTTGTGTTCTGAGAACCCCAAAAATGTAATAAATATTTATAATTTTACACCAATATTTAAGAAGCAGTATTAAGAGAAATTCAAAGAATAATAACCTTGAATTATACTTCTAAATTATAATTATACTTTATCATATCTTATTGTCAAGTACATTTCTGAAGACATCAAAGACTCAGGTTAAAACTATTTTGGTAAGTGCAGCTTAAATTTCAACTATCCCATGTTACCATTCTATATTATAGGTTAAAGTATGCTACAATCTATGTGATATAGTTAATAAACATTTTTAATCTGTGTGAACACAGAAATTTAAATAGGAATTTACTATTTTTTGTAATGGCTTTTGCTATTTTTTCATTGCTCATTTTGTTCTCGTTATTTTGATAAACAAAATATCAGACTTCTGTGCTTGAGTTTTTTAGTGTAAATTATTTTTACATGTAAAAGTACTGTCTTTAAACCAATTTCATAATGCAGAAAAAATCTTCTACCTTGAATTCTCCTTTACAAATACTAAAGTGTGATGGTTTTGATGACAGAATTACAACTCATCTAGGCATTGTGCACATACCTGTTGAAACTATTATTTTCCAATGAAATGTTATACATTTCTTTCAAATTAACTTTGAGACTTGAAATATATATTTTAAAAGTTATTTTTTGTTAAATAATGAATTTTAAAATACACTTATAACAAAAGTAGTTGAGAATAAAATGAAGGCCATTTTTATCATCAGCAATTCTTTTTTAACCTGGCCAAATAATGGCAATTGTGAACATTTTAGGCTATTTTCTTGAAGTTAATAAAGGCCACGGGTATGTTTGGAGTGGATGGGGGTGTTGTTAACCGAAAACAAACAAACAGAAAAAAGACACCTATTCATTAAGGAAAATATTAAAATGTAAGCTTAAGGAAAATCACCATTGGCCACCATTAGTGCCATCAAATACAGATTTATTACTTTGCATATTTTAACATTATTTATTTCTGATTCCATTATTTCTTTTTCAGGAATACCCTAGAGCTATTACCTTAGATATGAAAAAGTAAAAATTAAGAGTTTAATTTTATTACTTACTGAATATGGACCAAAAAATGAAAATTATTTTAAAAATCTGATAGCAGTCAGCAAAACTGGCATATTTAATTTTTTATGTACTGAATTTTGTCAGAATTTGAAGATACTAAAACACTATTCTAAAATGCTTATTTGTTTTATGTCTAGTGGTTACATTTGCACTCTTATTTTTGATAAGATAAAGATAACTTATCTCTTGAGCCAACTCAAGTCAATCACATTTTGACATGGAAAATATAGATAGATGTCTGTCACCTTTCTATAGGTAGAGTATCCAGCTATTTAATCGTATTTCTCTTACCCCATGCAAAATTTTATTTTTTAAAGGTATGCTAATGATTTTGGTATATGTAGAATATTTGGAGACTGCCAGGTTTAGCTCTAAATCTAGACTTGAAAATTTTTGGTGTACATGCACATTCACTTGATACTTGTGTACTTAAGTACTTCTATATATAGTTTTAAATGGCTATCAACCTTTTAAAATGTGTTTATTATTAGTACTTAGAAGTTGTGAAACAAATTTTACAGTTTAGAGGTTTGTTACTAGATACTGAAACTGCATGATGAGTATCTGGTGTCTTAAGTAATTAGATAGGTCTGTTGTATTTATTTTCCTGTTGGATAGAATTACAGTTAATCATTTGTAGAAGAGTTTTAGATTACTTGCCATAAAATTTGTATGTGTCTTAGTTCTTGGTGGTTTAGGAGCAAAGGTGGCATTTAACTGGTCCTTTCCTTTTAATGTTGCTAAGATAGCTGAAAACTTAATGGTATTATTTCAAGTTCACATAAACCTAAATCAGTTAAGCATAATAACCTGTGTTTAAATTATTAGTCAATTAGTAGGAGGTTTTATTTGAAAGGGTAAAATAATTATCTAAATTTTTCCTTAAGTTGCCAAAATAAATTCAGTATTTTTTTCCTTAAAAAACTTATCTATGATCTCTGAAGACTGTAAGATATAAAAAGAATAGGTTTCAGTTTCCTAGAATCAAAAATTGAACATAAACGTCTCAGACAATTCACTGGACAAGAATAGTAAAGAATATATTTTAATATATAATATATGATCAAAGGTTGCTTGTGTAGTGCTACTGGAATATAGGGGCACCTGGCTGGTTCAGCAGATAGAGCATGCAACTGACTATTGATCTCGAAGTCATGAGTTCTAGCCCCAGGTTGGGGTTGAGATTACTACAAAAAAAAACCTACTAGAATATAATAATAGAAGAATAACATAGAAGAAACAGAATCCTTAAGAGGTGAGGTAATGTAGTGCTATGTGTCTAGAAGAGATACAGATAACAAGGTTGCTCTGTAGATCACTTTGAGAGAACTAAAGGAAGGAAATCATTGTAGGGGCATACTACAGACTAGCCAAAAGACAACTGAATTCACAGAGGTGGACCAGACTATTGGGAAATGTGATCTTCTAAAGAATGTTCTAAAATATACCAGCAGGACTTTCTGGTACATTTGTTGGTTTGTCTACTCCCAGGACAGAGAAAAAGGGTTATGAAAATGGCTCTTTGAAACTTCAGTTTAACTACAGAGGAAGAATCGGTCAATCACATGGAACAAATATGTGCCTCGGGGTGAAGTAGTCCTACCATCTTAATTCTTTTTTTTTTTTAATTTTTTTATTTCTGAGACAGAGAGCAAGTGAGCAGGGGAGAGTCAGAGAGAGAGAGAGACACACAGAATCCGAACCAGGCTCCAGGCTTTGAGCTAGCTGTCAGCACAGAGCCCGACATGGGGCTCAAACCCGCAAACCGTGAGATCATGACCTGAGCCGAGGTAGGACGCTTAACTGACTGAGCCACCCAGGCGCCCCCTACCATCTTAATTCTGACAAAGCAGATCAAAGAGTACACTAAACTACTATTAAGGAAATAAGTGTAATGTACTCAGAGGAAAATAGTATAGACCCATGACCTGAAACAAAAGCCAAAAGCTTAGAGGTCTTTACCATCTTTATCACAAGTAACAGATTACCCTTATTGCAATTGATTACAGTGAGAACATACTACCCCAAACAAGGAATTTTATCTAGAAATGTGCATCAAAACCATCTAGGGAATTTTACATAATACATATACGTAGGGTCTTAATCCCAGTAGTGACATATATTTTCAGAAGATTCCTTGAGTAATTCTAGTATGCAAGCCACTGATTTAAAAGGTGTCAATATACCTGACAGCTTTCAAGTTGCTGGATCCAAGGGCAATATAATAAGGCTTGTCTGCATTTTCTGCTCTGAAATCTTTAAGATAACAACTTTAACCCCCATCCCCACTAATTCTCAATAAGAACTTGATAGGTGAGGTTATTAATTGCTATTACTAAACCTTGAAGAATTACAAAGAAAATTAAGTTACTCGAAATCTATAAACTGGCAGCTGCCTTGTTTCAAAAGTAAGTAAATTCTGCAAATTATAAAACATATCAACTCTTGATAGGATTCTAAATTGAATTTATTAAATGGTTTGTTATGTGAACTGTTCATGGTTACCAGGAGTTAAGGGGACCGCTACAATCAAGGTTGTATATTTTTAATAAGATTCGGGACTAGTTGACTAGTTAATGCACCCAGACTAGTAATTCTCAAAATTATGCTTGATAACTCTGGTTTTGAGGCATATTCATAAGTTTTGTCATCAAATAAGCTTGGAAAGGATATCAAGTTGAATACACTTCATGGAGCTTTTAATATACTAGTTTGCAGAATGATTTAACAAGAGGAAAATATAGAACACAGCATGTTAGATAAGAAAAATTTGGCTGTATCCTTTTCTCTCCTGGACTGTTTCTCCAAACTTACTTTAAAAAATACTACCCATCATAAGACAGTTAACTATTTGGGGATTTTGTGAACTGAACTTTAAAACAAGATGTTTTTGAGACTTAGGTTGGTCTTTTATATTTTATTTTACTGATAGGTACATGATTTGGAAACTTGGAAATAGGTGACCACTGTCATGGGGAAATGAAGTTTCATGAGAAGCATTTTTCTAGAATCATTGCAATGAAAAAAAAATAATAATGCTAAGGGGCGCCTGGGTGGCTGAGTCGGTTAAGCCTCCGACTTTCGCTTAGGTCATGATCTCGCGGTTTGTGGGTTCGAGCCCCGCGTCGGGCTCTGTGCTGACTGCCTGCCAGCTCAGAGCCTGGAGCCTGTTTTGGAGTCTGTGACTCCCTCTCTCTCTGACCCTCCCCTGCTCACGCTGTCTCTCTCTCTCTCTCTCCTAGAAATAAATAAAACATTAAAAAAATTAAGAAAAAAAATAATAATGCTTGTATACACGTGGATTTTTCTAGAAAAAAAGTTGATGATACTAATCTTTTATAAGATTATCAAGCCCCTAAACTATATAAGTAGAAATTATATAAAAATATGAAAGTGAAGGGGACCCTTGGCTGGCTCAAGTTGGAGGAATGTGCAACTCTTGATCTTAGAGTCGTGAATTTGAGCCCCATGTTGGGTGTAGAGATTACTTAAATAAATGAACTTTAAAAAGATAGAAGTGAATTGGAAGATTATCTGGAGGCTTTTCCTTCTGTTTATATCTGAACCATTTAACGCCTCCGCTGACTTCCACTCCATCATTTACTTTAGAAATAAACTGCAGCAGACAAACTTTTTAGCTAGAAGCATTTTTTTCTTAAGAAATCTGTGTAAAAAAGTACTTTATTAATATATTTTCAGTATTCAAATAACTGGAAGTAAGTTGTTTAAGCCTGTTATAGAACTTATTACATTTATCCTAATTAGCTTTATACATACTGATAACAGGATTTGATCCAAAGCAAATTTGAAAAAAAATTGGTCTTTAAATATTGAATAAATGTTTTGAGTACCTAGTTTGTACTAGGTGTTGAGCATTTAAAACAAAGGAGCCAAACAGATACCATCTTCTCCCTCATGGAGCTTCCTTCCCGTGTAATGGAAAGACCTTCCATTAATCAGCCTCACAAATTAATAATTTCAAATAAGTACCATGCAGGAAAAGCATCAAGTATATTAAGACACTATAGCCTAGGGGCACCTGGGTGGCTCAGTTGGTTAAGTGTGCGACCCTTATTTTTGGCTCTGGTCTTGATCTCACAAACTGTGAGCCCTGCATTGGGTTCTGTGCTGACAGCACAGAGACTGCTTGGGATTCTCTCTCTCTCTCTCTCTCTCTCTGCCCTCTCCTCACTCTCTGTCTCTAAATAAATAAACTTCAAAAAAT